TACATGCTTTAATCCTTACTTGCTTTAGATCATTGAGAGCGGCCATAGAGGTATGGTTGATATGGCTTTAGCTCTTTATGCTTCAACTGCATCAAATTGATGTGGAGGGTGGATGGATTGTTGTTTTAAGCTTATACTATTATATTTCATTTTAAATTTATTTATATTTAATAATTTTATTTTATTCTTAAGATTTTGACAAAAAATATTTTTTTTAGAATTTTGGGGGTATTTTGATGATAAAGATCTTCTCTTGTTAAGATTTTATGTCAAGATGACAATCATTGGATAGCTTGCTTGAAGTGCTTGCTTTTGTAATTTGAGAATTTAATTTTTAGAGTGGACCCCATCGATTTTGATGTTTGATAATCATGTCCATTATAGGGGTGTTTTAACAAATTGTATTTGTTGCTTTGGACCTTATCAAATTTACTTGCTTATAAATGATTAGGTCTATAATTGGCTTATTGTTTGAGTTGATTTGAAAATTAATCACATTATAGACCTTGTCGACCTTAATATTTGTGTGTAGAGGATTGGATCTGAACACTGAATTTACGACCAGCTACGAATGTAAAATAGTCTCTAGAGGTTGTTTTTTAGAATGAGTTTTCTATTTTAATAGCCTTTGAAGGCCTTATGCAAACGTAAGACAAAATATTTGAATGATTTTTATGATCAAATATTTGGCTCCCACTTTACAATAATGTTAGTTTACTTGGTTAGACCGAGAGCAATGGCAAAATTATTCTTTTTGTAAAATTTGATTTTGGATTTTTTTTATAAGCTTGTCAACTTCACTAATAATGTTTTGGAGGATCAAACTTGGAGAATAAACTTATGATCTTACCCTATAGACAGGGAAATCCACTTGAGAAAATTAAGGCAACATGTTGATGATTTAGAATTTGAAAGAGGGCTTATGAATTTAAAAAATGGTCGCTTGCTTTTTCAAAATGGGGTTTGCAAGTTCTTATATGTGGAAAATTTGAGTTGACCTTATTTTTAGTCTGTGCGGCATTATTTTACATTAAGTCTAAGAGTGTAGTATATTGCTGGGACATATGCGGATGAATTTGCTTGTTTTTATGCGTATAACATTCTGATGTTAGATTAATACATGGATAAGTTTATTAGAGCCCATGCATAAAAGTTTGCTGTCAGTGAATTGATGTGCTATGAAAGATATACGCATGCCATTTTTCAAAATTTGTCTTGAATCTTTTTACTATGGGCATGCTTATCGGTGTGTTTGCAATTATGCATACTTGATGTTGGGCACATATCTTGAGGACAAGCATGATCTTTAAAGTGCTTGCACTTTCAAATTATTATAATTGAGTTAGAAATTACTTTTTGATGCTTGCACATGAATTTGCAATTATTCAAACTAAGTTGCTTGCATGAATTTTTTTTTGTTAAAGTGCACACATTGCCTTTTATTTCTAAAAAAATAGTTATTGTAGTCTATTTGTTTAAATGTCTATGTTTCGGATTTGGTTGCGACTGATTATAAGTTAGAGCTTAAAATATTGTTGTTTACTTGCATTTAACCCTTGTTTTGCTCCCATTGGTGCCACATTGGACCTCCCTTTTACTTATAAATAGGAGTTGTCGGGCTTCATTTCCACAATCAGTTAAGTTCACAGCATGCCCTTGAGAGTTTTAGTAACAACATAGTGGTTCTTAGTAACAACACAGTGGTTCTATTCTTGCTTGTAGGCAAGTTGCTGAGTTCCCTATAAGCCCTGTCTTGCTTCGTTCCAATGTTGTAAAGTAATAACCATTGCATTTTGAAATTCTCATTTTGTAATTATGTTCCTTTTTTGTAATTTATATTTTATAAGTTCATGTATGATGTTTTTGAGTCAAACGGTTCATTTTGATTATGTTATTTTTGAGTTCTTTTACTAAAATTTTTTGTAGCCTCTCAATGTCTCCCTCTTGTAGGAGGCATTTCACGAATAAGAATGTTTGCATGGTTAATATTCTACATCGGGGTGCTAAATTGAGTTGACAGGTGACATTTGGTTCTTACTTGAACATGTCGACCTGACCCAAATATGCTTGGCCTAAACCCAACCAGTTTATTATATGAGTTCAAATGTTTAACTCTAACACATCCAAACCAACTCAACTTGTTTATTATATGGATCATGCATTATTTTTTAGAACATTTAACCCGAACACAACCTATTCAAGAACCCGTATAAATATTCAGGTCAACTTTTGATTTGAGTGTCAACTCAAACCCAACTTGGAATTTTATCGGGTTAAGATTTTAGACCTGAATCCGATCTGAAATTTAATTGATAAACTCGAACCTAAATTTTTTGAGTCAGGCTCATGTCTTGCTGGGTTATTTATTGACACCCCTAGTCTTACGACATCGTGGCTGGTGGTTTTTTCTTTTTTGAACCTATTAGTGCTTAAAATAATGTCTTCTTTATGTATGCATGCATGAAAAATAGTGCTATATGCATAATGTTGTTTTATATGATGTTGAGTTTGTTTTTGTAGATGAATTTGAGTTTGCTGTTTTAAACGGATTTGATTTTACTAGTGTAGACAAATGTTGTTGCAGATAGCCACCGTATTAGATAAATGTTGGAGTAGAAAAGTGCTCTATTAGACGATCAGATTTGCAGCTGAATTGAGTGTATACTTTTTCTCTCTTTTTTTTCCTTATATTTTCTTTTTTATTCCTTTTTTTTTTTAAATATTTGTACATTCAACACAAAGACATTGCTTCCTCTGGTGAGGCATGTATAATCTAGATTGAATTCTTTGATTTAAAGTCATCAGAGCGTATTAGTTCTTGGGTTTAGAATGACTAATTGGGTTTGAGAGAGTATAGGGATGAATGCCTGAGCATTGGGGATGGAGAGGATTGGATTACACAACCGATATAGCTTGATCATACAATTATTTATAGGCCAAGGGTAGAGCTTGATCGGCCAAACCAGTGGTATTCAATGTAATTTTCAAGCTGAGGGGTTAAGGATAGAACATATGGATGTCGCCACACTAGGCTATTAGGATGGTTATATACTTTCTGATTTGATAGCTGAAGCTCGTTCAAGCTACCAAGTTGGCAATCTGTAGACATTTTTTGATTAGATTACTGGTGAGTTGCACCTCAAATGTCTAGAGACGGTGGTAAATGACTCAAGGTGTTCAGGGATAAAAGTTTAGGGCTTAGGATTGGATACTCCTAGCCAAATTTTTGGTTGATGCATTTGGAGTTCAAGTTAAGTTGGTTCACTTGAGGTTTAGCTTGGTTGGGCTAACTTGGGAAAACCCCTTCGGTCCTTGGGCAATGGCTAGCCAAATGGAAAGGCTATTGGAGTTGATTTTGTAGGTTTGGTTCATTTGGTCAAATGAGTTTGACGGATGCCTATGAGGCTTAGGTTTGGGTCCAATATGATTCTAAATGACCAAGGAATGAGCCAAGGTCATTTGAGAACCAAAGTTTCGGTTGAGTTGCAAGGATTAGTTTAAAATTTTTATATGAAAGAATAAGGGTTTCAATGGGTTAAACCATTTGACCAAGGGTCCAAGGGTTTGACCCAAACCCACTTAACCAAAATGGTTTTGTGGTTGACCTGGGGTTGATTTAATGGGGTCTATTACCTAGGATGGATATGTTGGGATGCTTTGAAGTTACTGGCCTTGGTCTAGGTCAAGAGTGGACTTAATTTTGACGGTTCCATATGATTAATTTAGAATTCTATGACTTCAAGCTTGATTTCAACCTATTGCGTATGGGCTTACAAGGTTGGCAAGGGTTTAATGTGATTTCTACGTTGTCTAGGGTAGACACCTAAGGATCATAGGCATCTATTAGGTCATCTTGGATCAAATTGATCTAAACATCCCAACAAGTCCTAGGTAGGGTCTATGCACCGTAAGGATGTGGTTTGAGTTTGAATTGGATTGGCTTCGTCTACGGAAGGATCCTTAAGAATGACTTAGCTAAAGTATGATATGCAATGAACCAACTCATCCTATTAAAAGGGCATTTGATCATTACATTCCTATGGGTTTCAATGAATTTTAGATGGGTTTTACTTTAGTTTGGTATTGATTGGATTTGGATTCCTAGTGAGGTGCCTTGGTATTGGGTGCACGTATGATTTGAACTATTAAATTTCAAGGGTTAGAGTTCAATTGGATCACCTTAAGACCAAGAAGTTCGTAAGGCAGGGCTTTCTATTAGGCCAATGCTAGGTTAGGCTAATGGCTTCCCATGGTGAAACACTAGGCTAAAGAGGATTTAGAATTTGGTTTCAAAGAACCCCTACCAAGGCTAGGGCACCTACAACTAACTCCTAAAAAAGTCTATAGTTCCCTAAGGCTAAGTGAGTAAATTCTAGGGTTTGGCTTAGCTAAGGTCAAAGAATTCCTCCTAAGATAACTTATAGGGTTGGCCTTAAGCTAGAACAAGAACTATCTTTGGCTAAAGCTAGGCAACTATCAAGTCTAAGCAACCTCATTAAAAATGTGGTAAACACTTTCTCCCGATTATTCTCTCTAATCTCTCCTAATTGGTAAGTCTCCTCTTCCTCGTGATATTCTCTTTGATCTTAAGATACTCTCGCCCTTTCCTTATGCCCCTATCTCTTACACAAATTGTATGCATCCCAAGGCAATCTCTCTTGGGCCACAATTCTCCCTACTCGAGAAATTAAGAAAAAAAAACTTAAAGCTTTGGATATCATCATAAAGTTTTTCTATTCAAATTACATTAAGATTATTTTTCTTCTACATTAAAATGCCCCAAAGGAATAGAGGTGAGGGGTAGAGAAAAATAAAACTTGAAGACTCCTATGGTTGGAAAAAGGATAGCGATCAACTGGGAGATGGAATGCTGTAACAAATGTCATTTCTTAATTAATTGGTTTATAATCATCAAACAATTCCTACCATTTATAGTAGTAATCATAAATTTATGGACATTCTAACCCTAAAATACTTTAATATTTTAATTTATAATGTAGGCACCATAAACGATGGCTTGCTGAGAAGCTGGGTCCAGAAGTTGCACAGAAGGAGCTTGAATTTACTAAAAGGATATTTGCTATTGATGCAAAAAACTATCATGCCTGGTCTCACAGACAGGTGAGTTTTATTTTCATTAGGTCATTTTGTCCATTAAAAAGTCTCATGACTTATTTCTACCTGTATTTTGAATTCATACACAAGGATAGACAATCAATATTAACTTTAGTTTTGCACAATTTTTTACCTAACCCAGTGTAAGAATAAAACATCCATTTCTTACAAGTTGAGTCTAACTCCCAGTTACTTTCACTTTGAGATTGCTGAGTTGGTTGCACCCTCGCATGCAGTGGATTCTTGAGGCACTAGGTGGGTGGCAAAATGAGCTCGACTATTGTACTGAATTGCTTGAAGATGACATCTTTAACAATTCGGCATGGAATCAGGTATTTATTTATGGTTTCAACGATTTTACTCGCCATAGTTTACCTGTAACAACTTCCCTTTAGCATACTTAAACTTGGAAGGTACAAAACATTCAGTTTCAAACAGATAGCGACACGAAGGGAGATAACTGCTGTGTTTGTTCAAGTATTTTGCTATCTTGATTTGCTTCTTATTAGTTTTATCAGGATTCAGGAATATCCAATTCAATTTGAAATACAATTTTAAATCCATTCTGCATGGTCATGAAGCATCGACCAGCTCTTAGAACTTCACAAATATAGTTCTGCAACAAAAAAGTTGGCGTTTGCCATTTTTTTATTTTGAATCATAAGCAGTTGATGTGTGCAATTTTGAAAGGAGTTAATCCATTTGAAGGGTTTTTACTTTATGCTCTACCTAAACTTCACCCTTCCTTGCTCCTGAACAAAGTTCTCCACTTAATAAAGAAGTATAAACAATTAGGAAACCCACTAAGCGCTGCAACGAAAGGAAAAGTCGCTTGCAACAATGGTAACCGTAATTACTGGTATCAACTCAGTGGACACAATAAGGCCTACACATTCTTGCTCTTTGAAATAGAGGTAGCTTTTATTTTTGTCATTCAGGAAGTAACCCCAAACTTCCACTTTGCAGATAAGTGGCAACTTCTTTTGTAACTTTTGTCTAACCTTTCTCCATTACCCTTCTTTTTCCCCACCGCGTTACAATATCCCAGTCAATACCTATATATGCTTCCTCTTTGCAATACAATGCTACTTTCTCTCTCTTTGCTTTATTAATTCAAGATGTCAGGATATCCTTCATTCATGCCTAGATATGCTTCCTCTTTTCCAATACATTGCTAATTTATCCCTACTGCTTAACAAAGCCCTACATGAGGTCCTGGTTGGGTACCCATTGGGTACCCATGCTTTACTCGGGTGGGCTTCACCCACCCACACCCACCTATGGTTACTTTCAGGATGTCATACCCATCTATACCCACCCACTTTCCATGCTTTTTGAACGCAGTCTGCCACGGATTGATGGCCTTGAGGCTTGTTTCCCTTTGCTCTTATTGCAAACTTTCAATATGCATATCAAAATTTACCGTAGTCACAGTGTGGTTAAGTGTTGCACACTATATAGTGAGGATTGCAATAATATAAGATATACGGTGATTAGTAATGTAAATCAATTTATCCCTCGATGTTGAGTACCCAATCATACCCACCCACAAGGCCATGGGCGTACCCATACCCGGTGTGGGTATGGATATCCAATGCAGGGCTCTGCTGCTTAATTAATTGAAGAAGCATGTAATTCAAGAGTTGCTTCTGGTTATTTACAAGAAATGTTAAATCTGTTTGTCCTATAACAAAAATTACAAAGTATTCTTTATGCGATTTTTTTCAGTGGATGCAGCACGTTAATATATAACTTCTAGTAATTACCCAACTTTCTTCTTCGTGGGAAACATATTCTTAATCATTATCAACCCCTCATGTGGACCAGAGGTACTTTGTCATCACAAGATCTCCACTTTTGGGAGGCCTGCAATCAATGCGTGAATCTGAGGTGAGTTATGCAGTTGAAGCCATCTTATCCAACCCAGAGAATGAGAGCCCCTGGAGGTACCTGAGAGGTTTATATAAAGGGGATCCCAATCTTCTAATATGCAATAATCAGATCTCAGGCGTTTGTCTCCAAGTGTTGAAAACAAAGCACAATATCATATTTCCTTTGAGTCTGCTTTTAGAGCTTCTTTGCCATGGCTTCCAACCAAGTACTGAATTTGTGAGCGCCGTCGAGGCTTTGCGAACCTCGGTGCCTGAATCATCTTCAACCTCCAGTTTGGCAAACACCATTTGTTCTGTACTTGAGACTGTCGATCCAATTCGATCGAATTACTGGTCATGGCGGCGAAGCCATCTTCCTGCTGAGGTTTGCTAAAACTGTTGAAGCCAGTGATTTTAATGCAAATTGTTATTGATTCAGCGCAAGGTTGGTTGTCTTATTGCCACCTTTTTGTAATGTTTGCTGTAGGGATATGAAGCCAACCATGACAGTGTATGGTCTGAATGAGTTGGTTATAAATATTCATATTTAAGGACTCAAAATCTGAAAGTTGAGGCAGTCTTTGCTTCTTAAATTCTGCTTTGTAGTTCTGAATATTATACTGTTGTAGAGTTTCAATTTTCTTATATAATTTTTTTAAAAAAAATTTTCTACTAAAGTTGCTTTCTTTATAAAGCAGTACAAAGGCTGTCCCAAATGAAGCTGAAAGTCTAGGCTTCATTTAGGATGATTTTCTAACTGTTTCGTAAACTTGGTATAGATAAAATAATTTTTTATAAGGTAGTTTTTTAGTAATTTTTTTTTGAAAGCAAAAAAAAGTCTAATAAAAATTATAATTATGATATGAAAAATAAAATAGTAATGAAGCTGTTCCTAAATGTGATTCAAGAAGAACAATCTTATTTCATCCATTTTATTTTTATTTTACCTGCGTGTATCTTGGGGACTTGAAATGTTTTTATATTCTTGCAATTATGTGATAATCTTCTTTCACTCCATGTATAAGAAGTTATATTTGACAATCTTTCTGAATATCATACTAACTTTTGATCTTTTGAACTAATAAATTAGGGATATAATTTAAAAATAGATATAATAAATAATTTAATTATTAAAAATATATTTTAAAAGTAAAGTTTTAAAATAGGCAATCATTTTTTTAATGGACAATTTGTCACTGATATGGTAAATAAGTTGATTGTTAAACGGATAACTTATATCAATGTGAATTATATATATATCTTAACTTTATAGGTTATTATAAATAGACCATTTTGAGGACTATTTTACCTCTATACGAACTTATCTTTATCACCATACTCATATAGGTTATCATAACATATCATTGCCAACCTATTCCACACGATATAATTTTTCTTATCCACACACCATTTTCATTATTGAACATTTCAATGTATATAGACCATTCATTTTGAGAAGGCAATTCAACATATCATAAATATATAGCTTATAAGTGCAGTAGTCTCACTTCTTAAAATCCAACCATTTAATATAGTACTAATATACTCATAATTTTGTATTGTGTTTTTCATAAATATGCACCATGAGAATTTTCTAACTCTTAACATACATATAAATTTTGATTACATATGAATTTACACGTAAGAGACTGAAGCAAAATTTACTTCCTAGGCCAAAAATTGAATATTTTTTACTCAGTTTTTCCTCAGTATTTGGTCGGTATTGTTAGTTATTGTTTGATAATAACGAGTAATACCGCTCTGTGAAGATCAATACCGAGCAATACCAAGTAATCCAAAAAAATACAGAATTTTTTCTAGAAAAAACTTAGTATTTTTTGGGATTACTCAGTATTGCTTGGTATTTTGTCTTCACATAATGGTTTTTCTCGTTATTGTTGATATTGTTCGGTATTTGCTCGGTATTTCTCGTTTTGTGCCTGCGATCTTAGTGCCGGATGAACGTAGCTCTACGTACGTTCACCGGCCATAATAAAAGTTCCATGAAGAGAGAACTTGAAGAGGAGAGAGAAAAAAAAAAGACTGCCATTCATCTTTGATTATGGCTTGATTTTAGGGAAGGATGTAGAAACTTATGTAATTATATAATTTTATCAAATATTAATTTTTCATGTAGTTTTAAGTTTTTTACTAATTATTGCATAGTACTTCGAATTTAACAGACTGAGAAAATTATTATCTATTCTTTTAGCGAGGGAATTCAAATTTTTTGAAAAATTAAGTGTATTGTAAGGTTGTGAAAATCATACATTTTTACATGAACATATTTGTAATAATTTTTTGAATAAAGTAGATGCTACGCTGACGAAGTGAAGATGTTTTTCAAGGTAATTAAAATGCCAGAACTCAAATATACAAATTTTTATCTAAACGTTAGAGAACTTGAACTAGAATTCTCTGTTCATCTTTCTCTTGAATGAAAACTTGAAAAATGGTAACTCTCTTAGCCATCTAGAAAATGTGGAATCTCACCTATACTTAAAATTAATCCACGGGAAGGTCACACTCAATCCACAGAAGTTGCGGACATTAGACACATCCTTGGCAAGCACAAAGCTCATCTTGTTTAGTTGGTTTGAAACTTTAGCTATCAATCAAAAGGTTTTGAGCTCGAGTTTTACGTATGTGATGTGTGTGAATTTGCCTTAATTGGCCTAAACATCCCTCCAAAAAGGCGAGAAATCATTACGTGCGATCACCAGACACCATCCAAAAGCGAATCAGGACGGCCACATCATCATTTTGCTGTGTACTACTATGTACCGGGTGACATGGCGCATCCTGATTTGCCTCCAGCCGGTTCAGTGATCGCACATAATAATTTCTCCAAAAAGGCAAACATATATGCATTTAAGGACCATAACATTAATGATTTTCCTCTTAATCTGAGCTCTTAACAAGTTCATGTTTCACCAAACAGATGAAAGGAAGCCAATACTCTAAAAGATGAAAACAAAATACAAGAAAGGATAATAAATAATATCATAAAGCATCTATTTAAGCACTTCAACATAAAATGTTAATGAATTATAAATAAAACTTACATATAGAGACTTCAATGCAATTTATCAGCCCTGGAGGACAGATGGATCCTATTTCTGAATTGAAAAAGTAACGGTTACAACCGCAGCATTATAATCAAATCAACATTTCTATATGTGTAAATGTAAATTTGAAGGAATTCAAATCATTACTCGCTTGAAAAGATACTCATTTCTGTACTATCAGATCATCTGACATACAAAAAGAACTAAGAAATAAAACCAATACCCTCAACAAAGTCCTTATTTACCTCTCAGAGAATTATAACCGTTTTGATCCTATTAAAATAACAGTAACAGCTGTGCAAATTATAGGAAAAAAAATAGAATGCTTGCCAAGCAAATCGGAAACTTCATTTCTTACCTTTGTTTAGAGCCAAACATATTTAAGTTCTCACCATCCTGCAGCTTTTAGAAACTTGTCATATGGGCTTGAGGGTGGAAGCCTAAATGGCTGCTCAGTCTCAATAGATTTTGTAATTGAACTTTTAATGTCCTCTGATGATATATGGTCAGCCTCAGCGAGTTGCAGCGTAAGCTGGAAATTAGAGGAGAAATGGTTAAGACATAATAAACAAAATTCTGGATAATATTTAGCTTCACTTGCCATGGGTTTGGTTGACAGGTGATTCTTATTATCATTTGATAAGCTTATTTCTGAGTCATCTCTGTGACTCTTGAAGCTTCGGAGGACTGACATCTTCTGCTGCTTCCCAATCACAAGAGCTTCACACTGGCTCTTCATCTCCTCATATGGAACACTGGAGGAGAGGGCCGGCATTGTAGTTGACTGCTGTGCAGTCTCAAGAACCTGTAATTTGTTCGCATTTGTCCATCTTTAAAGTAGGAAGTACAGGTAGATGACAAATGGCAATGCATGGTTTCTTTGATTCGCTAAATCAAAATTTTAACTAAAGGCAGAAATTAATGGTGTTCACACTTCTTATTGATTTTTTAGTTAAATTGAAAACTAATAAAGATAAGGATTCTTTTTTTTAGTAGGGCCTCATATATAAGCAGAATTGGTTTTTGGATTATTGAAATTATGAATAATTCCTAAAGCCCATGTTTAAACTTCTAGATACCGTTAATGAATCACTACGACACTTAATCAAGAACAGCATTTGATCGTGGTCTACAGTAAGTTATTGTTAACATTACAAGTTGAGTACTTATATATTTTGTTAATTGGTAAATAGTGAGGATTCTTAATTTCCTAAATTGAGAGAATACTAGGTTGCGTGCAATTAATTGATCAACTAGTCTAGGTCTGTTTGAAAATTATCTGAGTCTATCTTGTGCATAATCGATTTCTTTATATCTGAATTATTGAATGCAATTGAAAATTGAAATAAAAAATAAATTCTATATTACATGTACAAGTATCTTGTTAGTTCATTGCATACATCAATTGTGCTTACTTTTGCATTCATATCTTCAGGAATTTTGACATAAGAGGTGAATATGAAAGATTGTATGAGCAAGTGGAACAAATTGAATATATGGTAGATAGAAATTAAAATAAAAAAAACGAGTGGGAAAAAAATCTAAACTAGAAGACAAATTTGATCAAGTCATAAGTTAGCTAAGATATTTGACCAAATGAAAGACCTAAAACTTCAAATGAACAGACTTTAGAGATTCGTATAACTTAGGCTAATGTCAAAGCTAGAATGAGAGAGAAATATTAATCTTCCTAATATAAGTAACAAAATCACAAAATAGATTTTTTATTTGAAGAAGTTGAGAATTCTTATTTTAAAGATTATAATATAACTTCAGTAGGAAGCCTGATCAAATAGCATAGAGTAATAGTTATAAATATATATCTTAAAATTTTATAGAAACCAAAAGAAATTATAACAATATGATAGGATAGTCGAATTGGAGTTGTGAAAAACTATTACTATTTCAAGATAGATTGCTAAGAAAGACAAATTAAAATTCTTTAATTGAGCTATACTTAATGTGGGATAAAATGACTAGTTCTATTAAGAGGCTTATTGTATAATTTTTGGGAGAATTTAAAAATAAATTTTACACTGATATGGAGAGATTTGGACTGCCGGTGTACAAAGGATTGTCAAGAAAAAGGTACACTTTTAAAATGTGAAAAAAAATTATATACCACTTAGACTTGTATGATTATAAGAAAGTAAAAAACTTGGAAAGAAAGTATGAATAAAGCAAAACCTACAACTTGATAAATTATGTAATAAGCTTGGTATTGAGGAGAAAAGAATACATTTAGAATAGCTAAAATAAGAGATCTAATTTGATCAAGTTATATTCATTGAAAGCGATGATAATATAATTTTAGTTAAATATGAAGAAATTAAGCATAAAAAATGGATTCATAAAGCTGACCCCACATAGTGGGATACAGGTTTGTTGTCGTTGTTAGTGTATGAAGTGTATCAAAAGTTTCATCCCATTATGTGTTTTCATAGGATTTCAACTGTCTAGAAGCATATGCTACCACTTTTTTATTTTATATTAAAACATTGCCAAACCTTTTTTAAAGAAGCATCACTGCGTAATTGGAATCCCTCAATTTCAAATCGAATTGTCAATATTTATGCAGACGTTAAATACTTCTTTAGTTCCAGACAATTTTGCTCACATTCATCAGTCCATTCAAATTTAATATCCTTTCGTGTCAACATGAAGAAAGGTAAAGAAATTTGAGAAAAATCATTCACAAATCTTCTATAATAACCTGCTAAGCCAAGAAAATTTCTTATTTCAGTCACATTAGTTGGTCTTAGGCATTTAACAACTACTTTCACTTTTTTTTATCTACTTATATACCTTCGCCACTAATAACGTGCTCCAAGAAAACAATTTTTTTTCAACCAAAACTCAAATGTTGCTTTATTAAACCCAAAACAATCCTCAACTGACATGCATGATCTTTATCATTCTTAGAAAAAATCAATATATCATCCATAAAAACAATCACAACTAATCAAGACCTGAAGATCCTATTCATCATATCCATAAATATGATATGAGTATTTTTCAGTCCAAATGGCATAACCAAATATTCATAATACCAATATATGATACCAAAAATTGTCATCTCAATATCACTTTCTTTCACTCTGACTTGATGATATCCACATCTCTAATCGATTCTTGAAAATACAGAAGCACCTATTAGCTGGTCAAATAAATCATCAATCCTTGGGAGATGTTACTTGTTTTTAATTGTCAACTTAATTAATTTCTTGTAATCAATGTAGAGCCGCATCGAACCATCCTTCTTCTTAACAAATAAATCGGTGCACTCTAAGAAGACATGTTAGGTCTGATAAAACCATTTTCAATCAATTCTGATAATTGACATTTCAATTCACGTAACTCTTTCGTTGCCATTTTGTAAGGCATTTTTTTTCAATTGGATTTGTTCCTAACTGAACATGTATTAATAAACTTTATTTCTCTCCTTGGAGGAAAATTGATCAACTCCTCCAAAAAAATCAACAAATTCATTCACCATAGAAATAGAATTTATATCATTATTTTCCTCCTTGCTAGCTTCTAACTTTGCCAAAAAAATAAATTCACCAGCTTTCATACATTTGTTCAGCTGACTAGACTTAATCAAATTTGAAGTTACTCCTTTTTCGGACTAAAAGTAAAATACCTCATCTTCAGGTAAATCAAATCTAACTCTTTTCTTCCAATAATCAATAGTAGCAAAATATTTTGCTAACCAATTCATACTCAAAACTACTTCAAACTCATAGATATAAAGGAGTCTAATGCACAAGAATAAAAAAGAACTCCATCTACTAAACCTGAAATAATGATAATACATGTCACCACTTCTAATGATTCCTTAGCTTCTTGAGGTTAAAGAAAAAAACTCGAGCTGGTACTAATCTCAAAGTGTCTCCAGATGCTCCTTTGATCTTAAAGGCTGGTTTGCTCAATTGTGGCATTACACCTCTATATTGCTCTGCCCTCTGAACGCCATTTTGTTCTCCGGCTCTCTAAATATTTTTTGGATAATATCTCTTGATATGGCCCGACTCCCCACACATATAACACTTCCCTGAATTCAGTAGACATTATTTCCCTCAATGTGACTTTTAACAATTAACGCAGGCTGGTGTCAAATGGGACAGTTCATGTTGTTGTTGTTGACCCTGGTGAAATTTTTGCTCTTTAGACTGACTACTTTTGAGGTTAAATGATCTCTTATTGCTGCAAGTCTCCCATTTCTGCCTTATCATTTCCATATTGTGCTTTAGACCTCTAGCACTTTCAACTAATTTAATAAAATATTTAATGCACAGAAGAATCAAAGGTTGTCTCAATGAATCTCCGAGGCCTTTCAATAATTTAACATTTTTCAGTAGTATTGATAAGCTATGAAGCATATCGCGACAAAGATATAAACTCTGCCTCATATTAATAACAATCTTGAATCCTTGAGTTAGATTCACGAAACTCTCTTGCATTGCTTATCTTGCTGATGGAGGGACATACTAATCTCTGAAGACTTGTTCAAATTCTTCCTAGGTAATAAGCTTTTCTGGTGTATTATCATTTTTTTGTCCAAGTGTTTCCCTCTCCACTATCGATCATCCAATCATTAGTAGTTATGGCGCCTACTCCTTTAAATAAAGGTGGTTTTAAACTTTGAAAGATCTTTAAATGTTTGTCTAATTCTACATTGACATTGGCACCTGCACCTGTATGTACATTACTACTTGGAGCTGTAGGTGTGACTAGTATAATTACTGGGGGTACAATAGGTGCTACAGTTGCTTACAAAAAACTGCATCTTTTCCATCATTTATATCATCATTCTCATCATTTGCATTTATATATAACCATTTGCATATACATATAGTAATACTTTTAATTTTACATGCTAAATGCATGCAAAATCAAGGTTTAGACTCACCACTAACTTAAGGGCACTACTCCGAACTAAGCTTTGTAGTAATTATATTAGATTCAATTCTGTTTCTTAAAAATACTAAATCCAATTAAGCTTCGGCAATTAAATCCTCAGAATCTTAACACTTAAGCCTAGTTTGATTGGACGTTTTTTGTGCTTATTCCTTTTTAAAACGGTAAATTTACTTTTTGGTTCCTCAAACCACGTTCCCAAAAACATTTTTTTTTTCATTTTCTACTGTTTTAAGAAAGCTTTTTATATATGCTTATCCGTTTAGAGAACTCCTTTCTATAAACCGGTGTTTCTTAAAACTAACTTTTACAAAAGTATTGGACAACCAAACGTAGCCTTATTCTGATCCCACTTTTATCATGCTCCGCGACGCCCCGCACCAAACCACGTAGGGTACGACAGAGAAAACATACAATTCCTCAAATGACAAAAGTCATAACCATTCCTTATTCTATTCAGATCACATTTCATCACATTAGTCTATAAAATGGAAGCATTCAATTTTTTTTTCATTTCCATCATATGTACATAATTACAGAGTAACTAACCATCGAAAAATCTTTCATAACTATAGTTCACACACTTGTGTTCAAGATTCATTTCATACCACTATAAACCATAGTTTTAAATTGATTTGAGTCTAGTTAGCTTCCACCTTATCCTTACTTTTATGTAACAAAAGACAAAATAAAAATCTGGTTAACTATGAGGCTCAGAAAGATATTCAATTTTAATATAATATTTAAGTATATGAAACACAATATTTAGCTGCGTATTAACAAGCAAATGAAGAAAAGAAAATTGTCTATAATCTTTTAATAGTAATGATACACAGTATATTATAATGCAACATGTGAAAATACTATTACACATGAGAGTTA